CAGATGATAGAATAATAGGACATATGGGGAATCAAGAATATGGGCATCTCTATTATTTCTATGAATCGAGTCATTTGTGGAAGTTGTGCATTTGCTCATTTCGTTTGTATCGTATTGATCATTCCAAAAAGAAAGAAAGGATAGCCTTGACATACCTGAGCCGATTCTCTCGACAATCCCTCTAACACACATTGATTGCGACAAAATATGTAACGGCGGATCGAAGTAGGGGAAATTCCGTATGATATTCTTTGAGAAAGATTGCACCGTACTCCCTTAGAATTGTTGTAACACCCTAGAAAAAAAATTAAAAGTTCATAAGTGTAAGGCCTGGTAAAATTTGCGAAGAAAATAATGTTTTATGGTGCTGGACTAGGCTTACGTGTTTGAGGGTTATAGAAATTCTTTGCGGCGAGCTTGCTCGCCGTGGCTCAAACTTTTTGGGTTGAACAATGCACAAGAATGAAAAGGAAAATTTTTGGCTGAAAAATATAATTCTGCGGTCCATTATGCGATCGCAGAATCACTCTGCGGGCCGCATAATGGCCGCAGAAGTGAGCAGGAGAAGGGCCAGTCCGGGGAAATTATGCGGTCGATTATGCGACTGCATTACTATTTTGCGATGCATTATGTGATCGCATAACAGTTATGCGGACCGTATAGTGACCGCATACACAGACAGATTTTGGCCAACTTTGGACACCAATATGCGACCAATATGCGGTCGCATATGCAACCGCAGAACCTGTTCCGGAGCTTCATTTTTGAGTTTTTAAAACCCGACCCTACTTCTTTAAATACACGTTTTGGGCCATTTTTAAGAGATAATCTGACATTTTAGAGTGAGAGAGGGTGCCCTGGAGTGAGAAGGTGTTCTCCAATAATTGTTCTTCAATTCTTGCCCAAGTTTTGGAAGATTAAGAAGGAAAACTCACTAGGTCTTCATCCTAGAGGTAAGATTCTACACCCTAACCCTCAATTTCGAATTTTGTGTAGAAATGGATAATAAGGAAGATAATTTCTGGGCAAGAGGGTTGGTTATTGTACATGCATGTGTTATCAAGGGGTGTAGAAAGATTCTTGCGCTAAAAATGGTAAAGGTTGGGTTGTGGGATGATGGAATCCTCCATAAAAGGATATTGAAACCTTAATGCACATCTAGTGTTTGATAAAATGCTCAAATGAGCTAGAACCATGATCATCTTCCTAATTTTGGTTTAATTTGTTATATTTCTAAAATAGATTGAAGTTGCTAAGAATTTCGGAACATTTAGAGTGTAAGGAAGCTCAAGTGAGGTATGTTGGCTAAACTCTTCTTTAAGAGTTGGAATTCTCATTATCCTTGTGAGTTCCGAGATGTTGATTATAAATCGAGTATTCCACTCAGCTTTGTGATGAAGATATATGTTCAATTCGTATTTCAAATGCTTTTATCATATTGCATTATAAATTGAGGATGTGTCCCAAACTATGGATTACGTATCCACATGTTATAATTTCTAGTCGTGATTTATGTGAAAGGTATGATGCCAAGTTGTGTAGAGATTGTGATTGTGATACACCTCCACCCGCATACATTGGGGTGAGGCGGCATGACCGCTTTGTGTGGGGATTATGGTAGAGAGATTGTGATTGTGATACACCTCCACCCGCATATATATTGGGGTGACGGGGCATGACCGCTTTGTGTAGGAATTATGATATTATAGGACTGCACCTCCACCCGCTTACATTGGGGTGAGGCGGTACGACCGCTTTGTGTATAGTTTTGGTATTGTTGTGGCACCACCACCCGCATACATTGGGGTGAGGCGGCATAGCCGCTTTGTGTAGGTTCTTGGTACTGTGGTTATACATCCACCCACATACATTGAGGTGAGGCGGCATGGCCGCTTGATTTGAGGTGTGGTATTAAACGTACACCTCCACCTGCATACATCGGGTGAGGCGGCGGGGCCGCTTTGTGTGAAGATGGTTACATAGGATCTCATCTTAAATCCTATAAATGTTGTTGATAGCTTTTAATAAGCTTGCTATGGTTGAGACAGTTATCTATATTATTCTATTGCCGCACTGGTTCATCATAATTATCTTGTATTTCTAAATTCTTAAATTGGTGTTTAGTTTTCATACTAGTACTATTCGACGGTACTAACGTCCCTTTTGCCGGGGGCGCTGCATCTTTAAATGGATGCAGGTGATTCCACAGCAGGAGACATTGATCAGTGAAAGCAGTGCACCTTCTTCGCAGCTGACTTGGTGAGCCCCACTTCATCCCGGGGTCATGTATCTTTTGATCTTTATGTATTATGGTTGAGGTATAGCCGGGGCCTTGTTGCCGGCATTATCATTGTACTCTTATTTATCCATAGAGGCTCTGTAGACATAGTGTGGGTCGTGTATTAGTGTTGGGAAAAGACAAACTATATTATGTTGTGGTTGTATTACTTGTCCATTTAAGACTTTAAAAATGATGAAACTATTGGTAAGAAATTGGTAATTGCAGACATGACCACTTTATTGTTTAATTAAGGAAAACATATATTCTCTTTATTCATGAATGAGTTTGGGTAGAAGGAATCTAATAGACTTGCTCGGTCGGGTTCACTCGGTTGAGCACCGATCGCGCTCCTCGGTTTTTGGGGCGTGACAATTGCAAAATCCCGTTACTATAACATTACGTAGTCTCGTATGATTTTTGTAGCAAAATCACGTTGCTAACATCTAATCTTTTATAAGAGAGTTTGCTGAAGCTTCTTTGAACTTTGTAGAGATTCAATAATGAATTAGAGAGGTCTCTTTTAATAGTGGTGTGGGCCCTACTTATAAGACTTACTTTAGCCACTTAATAATCTCTTAAAAATGACTCCTTACTCATAATTTTAAGAGTCATTAAATTGGCTTTAACTTTCTGCCAAGTCTTCATAAACCCACGTGAAGATTGTCCCCTTAGAATTATCCAAAATCTTCACCTAAATAATTATCCACAAAATCCAATTTACAAATTAATCTCTCACTTAAAAATCCATAATTATCCAATTATTCATATAATTAAGAATTATCTCAAATTACTTGAAATACTACTCACTTTTATACACCTTACTATCATGGTCATGTGGTACCTTGTATGGCACTAGTACATGAATATGGGGTATTATACCTTGGACCGTATTTTATCTCAAAATGTCAAACTTCGACGAAATTTATTTTCTTCGATTTGCTTACCCTCTCACATTCACTAATTTACTCATCACTTGTTTGAAATAGCATAATGCTTATAATCTCAAAATAATCTCATTCCCGAACTTACGTAGATTAACTTACGACAAAACTTTAACATACGAAAATACGGGATGTAACAATAAGGGGAAACAATCTCATCACATTAACACAGGTATTTACCCCTCAGTCACTCCTACACCGGCACGTGTAGTTTCGGGGTTAGGTTATTCCGACCTACCCTTCCTCGGTGGCTAAACGATACTCCCAAGGCATTTATTATTAAGAGTATTTACCACTCAATTCATATTCTTTTACATGTTATTCATTTTATTGGCATCATTGACGATAACACAATATCATTCTTGGCACATTGGCCGTACTTCATAATTCAAGCTCACTTTTCCATTTTCAAACATTATCATGGATAATCAACAAGTCCTTTCAAATTAAGACTTTAAAATTATACTTGAGCAAATTAGGGTCTTAGGCACATATGATCTCTTATACAATTTGATGTGATCACTTTCATTTGGACTTGACTTGAAGTCACAATATTTTAATACATACTCATACTTCGAATACTCTCCCGAAGAATAGCATAGTATGATAAGAACATTCTGGAACATATTTTGAACATATTATACATCATCTGATGCCAAACTTATTCAGAAAAGTCAATGCATAATGGACAACTCGGGACTTACAAGATCATCATGGGAATTCAATTCTAAGAGAGGAGTTTAGCCAACATATCTTACCTCGAGCTTTTTAATTTACTAAAATGTTTTGGAGATACTAGCCACTTCGATCTATTTAGAGATATAGCAAAATTGAACACAAATTAGGAAGGAGTTCATAATTCTAGCTCACTTGAGTATTTTACCAAACACTAGGCGTGCATTAAGGCTTTAAGGTCCTCCTAAGATGGATTCTTTCACACCACTACCCAAAGTTCGCCCAAAAGAGCTCAACAATCTCCCCACTACCCTAGATGGTACATGCATGTAAAATAAACAACTCCCACACCCAAGAATTGCATTACTAATTACCCATTTTTAGTTAAATTCTGAAATTAAGGGTTAGGGTATAGAATCTTACCTTTTGGTTGAAGACCTTGTGAGTTATTCTAGAGAAATCTTCAAGGTTTGAACAAAGATTGATGTACAAATGACTTAGAACTCCACTTCTCACTCTAGACCACCTTCCTCTCTCTCTAAAATGTAAGTTTGAACCTTCTAAAATGACCCTTAACATTGTTTTATAAGAATGGAGTCGGGTTTATAAAATCAGAAAAATGAATCTATGAAACACAATTTGTAGACGCATATGTGACTGCATAATGCTTTTGGGGTCCGCAAAATGGGCCGCGAAATGGCCCTCCGGAACTGGGCAATTCTGCCCCTACTCTGTGGCCATTATGCGGTCCACTGACCTATTATGTGGTCGCATAATGCGCCGCAGAACCTCCCTCCAGAAAATGTTCATGCTGGTTCCACGGTCGATGTGATGCCCGCGAAATGGTTGTGCGATCGCATAGTGATCGCACAATATCACCCAAACTTTGCCCAACTTTTTGCTTCATTCTGCGGCTGCATAGTGGGCCGCAGAAATGTCCTTTTCTGCCAAAACTTTTCCTTCACTCCCCACCGGACTGTTCAACCTAAAAAGTCTGTACTGCATATCAACACATAAGCCTACTACGGCACCACAAAACCCTGAGTTTTTAGGAAAAATTTACGGGGTCATACAACGTACTGACTGGTATCACTAGCGGAGAGATGGCAAACATGGTGGGAAAGGTACTGGAAAGTCATAAGATCACTTTCCATGAAGATGAGCTGCCAGCGAATGGATTGAGTCATAACAAAGCATTGCACATCACTTTACAATATAAAGATAAGTTCATTGCTCGAGTTTTGATTGATGGGGGTTCAATTCTAAATATATGCCCTCTAACTAATCTGAAAAGTTTGGGCATAGGTATACCAGAGGTACGGATGGGAAGCATGAATGCGGAAGTGTTCGATGGGTCTTAAAGAGCTACTATTGGAGAGATTAACCTGGACCTAAAGATGGGCCCGACTTGGTTCGATGTTGAATTCCAGGTGCTGGATATATCCTCTACCTATAACTTGTTGTTGGGAAGACCATGGATGCACGTGGCTAGGGCAGTCTCTTCTACTCTGCATCAGGCCATGAAGTTCGAGTGGAATCACCAAGAGGTAGTTATCCACGGTATGGAAGTAATCTTATCTATACCAACAAAACTGTGCCAACAATTGAAAGTAGAGGGAAGTTGGGAGGAAAAACATTCTACAGCATCAATTAGGTAAATACACTCGATAAAGGACAATGGTGGAGCAACAAGATACTAAGCATGCTGTTGTTGTTAGGTTATGAACCAGGTAAGGGTATTGGCTCTAAGCTTCAAGGATTCACATAAACAATAGGACCATAATATCATGGCACGACCGTTGGTCTCGGATATGAATACATTGTGCAGGAATATAATCATTGGACACCACTGTGGCATGACTTCTACTATCCACTGGAACAACCCATACCACCGCTACACCAGACATTCCGCCAGACTGATGTGATTTGGGGATCTGAAGAGGATGAGGTCTTAGCCGGCATGAGGAACCTATTTCTGAATGAGGAAGATATGGACTGCAGTGCAATCTTGGAGGAGGAAGAGGAAGACCTTACCATTCAGATAGTGGGAGATGGAGTTGTTCTTAGGAACTAGACTGCTGCACCATTCCGGGCTCACCGTGTACCTGGGTAGCTTTGACAGAATAGCATGATTTCCTTTAAGATTGTTTTCTGGCATTTAAGACATTTTCAGTATTTTGAAATAATTACTCGAGGCATCGAGTCGTATTTGTTTGACAATTTTAAGTTTTAATTAATGCATCATTGCTTTTTCATTTATTTATATTATTACCTTTCTACATTCTTTTTATCATAATTATTACCTATCCTGTTGAATTTATGACTGTGACATGTAATGAGACAACGCAACATGAGGAAAGTGATTCAGAAGATTGGGAAAATGATGTAGTACATGAGGAAATTGTCAGGGAAGTAGAAAGTTTTGAGAACAAACCAAAGTCCAATCTGGAAGAGATTGAGGTAGTTAACTTAGGGGATTCTGAAACAGTCAATGAAACTCGCATTAGCATTTATCGATCACCGTCAAAGAAGAAAGAGTACACCAGATTTCTAAAGGAATATGAGGACATTTTTTCATGGTCCTACGACGACATGATGGGGTTGAGCACATCCACAGTGGCCTACAAGCTACCTATCAACCCTATGTGCCCACCAGTAAAGCAAAAACTCAGAAAAATCAAGCCAGACATGAGATTGAAGATAAAAGAGGAAGTTACCAAGAAGATCAAAGCCAAGGTCCTTCGGGTGGTCGAATATCCAACTTGGATAGCCAACATTGTGCCGGTACCAAAGAAGGATGGTAAATTCAGGGTGTGCGTTGACTATCGGGATCTGAACATAGCAAGTCCTAAGGATGCTTTCCCGCTACCCAACATACACATATTGATCGACAACTGTGCCAAGCATGAACTCCAATCCTTTATGGATTTCTTTGCAAGATACCACCAGATCTGGATGGACAAAGAGGATGTAGAAAAGACATCTTTCATAACACCATGGGGAATATGCTACTGCAAGATGATGTTGTTTGATTTGATGAACGTCGGGGCAACCTACATGAGGGCTATGACTGCTCTCTTTCACGATATGATACACAAGGAAATAAAGGTGTACGTGGATGATGTCATCATCAAGTTATAGTAGAGTTCAGATCACAAAACAGACCTGAGAAAGTTTTTCGATCGACTACGAAAGTACAATCTGAAGTAGAATCCTGCAAAATGTGCTTTCAGAGTCCCTGCCGGGAAGTTGTTAGGTTTCATCATTAGTCGTTGCGGCATCGAGCTAGACCCGTCAAAGATCAAAGCCATTCAAGATCTGCCACCACTAAACAACAAGAAGGACATAATGAGTTTCTTAGGCCGCCTCAATTATATCAACCGCTTTATAGCACAGTCGATGGTAATATGTGAGCCAATCTTCAAGTTGCTGAGAAAGGATACTGCAACAAGTTGGACTAAAGAATGTCAAAAGGATTTCAATAAAATCAAGGAGTATCTGTACAAACCACCTGTGTTGGTCCCATAGGAACTCGAGAGACCTTTGCTACTGTACCAATCCGTGTTGAATGGAGCATTTGGATGCATCTTGGGACAACATGATGAGACCGGAAGAAAAGAGAAAGCAATATACTATCTGAGTAAGAAGTTCATGCCTTACGAAGCTCGGTATTCTCTGTTGGAACGTACCTGTTCCGCCCTAACATGGATAGCCCAGAAGATGAGACATTAGTTTTGCGCATACACCACATACCTCATATAAAGGATGGATCCTCTAAAATACATCTTTTAGAAGCCTATGCCTATGGGTGAGCTAGCAAAATGGCAAATACTAGTAAGTGAGTTCGACATCATCTATGTGACCCAGAAGGTAGTCAAGGGACAAGCGTTGGCCGATTAGCTGGCAGAGAACCCTATGGATGGAGAATACGAACCATTTAAGATGTATTTTCCCTACGAGGAGTTATCTTTCGTATGGGAGGATATTGCCGAGGCATATGACGGTTGGAGGATGTTCTTCAATGGAGCCGCAAATTTTGAAGGAGTGGGCATTGGAGTTGTCTTAGTATCAGAAACCGGTCAACATTATCTAATATCCGCCAAACTCAGGTTCCCGTTCACCAACAATATGGCAAAATACGATGCTTACATTTTGGGACTCTGATTGGCCATCGACATAAATATTAAGGAATTGCTGGTAATCGGAGATTTAGTTTTGCCAATGCATTAGGTACTCGAAGAATGGGCCACCAAGAACACAAAGATATTGACATACCTATACTGTGTGCAAGATTTGATCAAGAGGTTCACAAAGATAGAGTGCAAACATGTTCCTAGAATTCACAGCGAGTTCGCGGATGCATTGGCTACCTTGTCTACCATGATACAACATCCGGACAAGAACTATATTGATCCTATCCTAATAGATATCTATAAGAAGCTAGCTTACTGTGCTTGAAGAATAGTTTGATAGGAATCCATGGTTTCATGACATCAAGGAGTATTTGGAAAAAGGAGAATACCCAGAAAATGCTACGCATACCCAGAAGTGCACACTTCAGAGATTAGCCAACCACTTCTTTAAAAACGGAGGAATTCTGTATAGAAGAGATCCCGACTTGGGTCTGTTAAGATTCATCGATGCCAAGGAGGCATCTAGGTTGCTCGAAGAGATAAATGCTGAAACCTGTGGACCTCACATGAATGGGTTTGTTCTAGCCAAGAAGATATTAAGGGCGAAGTATTTTTGGATGACTATGGAGAGTGACTGCATCAAATATGTACAAAAGTGTCACTGGTGCCAGGTACATGCATGCTGATATGATACGAGTACCACCCAATAAACTCAATGCGACAAGTACCCTAGCCTTTTTCTGCCTAGGGCATGGATGTCATCGGATCGATCGAACCCGCTACTTCCAATGGACACAGATTCATCTTGGTGTCCATATATTACTTCACAAAATAGGTCGAAGCCGCTTCTTATAAAGCATTGACTAAGAAGCTCATAGCAGACTTTGTCCGGGATCATATCGTTTTTCGATTAGAAGGGCCTGAATCAATCATTACTGATACTGCTGCCAATCTGAACAGTGATCTGATGAAAGCCATGTGTGAAACATTCAAAATCAAGCACTGGAACCCTAAAACATATAGGCTAGAAATGAATGGAGTTGTGCAAGCCGCTAACAAGAACATCAAGAAGCTATAGAGGAAGATGGTGGACAATTACAAGTAGTGGCACGAGAAGCTACCATTTTCACTGCTCGGATACAGCACCACGGTCCGCACGTCAACTGGGGAAACTCCCTATTTATAGGTCTATAGTTTTGAAGTTGTTATACACACCGAGGTAGAAATCCCTTCCCTGAGAATCATACAGGAAGTCGAGCTCAGCGATGCGGAATGTATATAGAGCCGGTATGAGAAATTGGCTCTTATTGACGAAAAAGGATGAACGCGGTGTGTCACGGTCAACTCTACAAGAACAGAATGGCAAGGGCTTTCAACAAGAAGGTTAGACCGAAGCAATTCATACTGAATCAATTGGTGTTAAAGTGGATCTTTCCATATTAGGACGAAGCAAAAGGAAAATACTCACCTAACTGGAAAGGTCCTTACATGGTTCACCGAGTACTGACAGGAGGAGCACTCATACTTGCAGAAATAAATGGGGAGATATGGCTGAAACCTCTCAATTCAGACGCCGTCAAGAGATAATGCATTTGAAATTGTATTTTCACTTTCTTTTGATGTCACATGAACTACGCTTGACCTGATTCTCGCTTAAGAGGGGATATGTAGGCAGCCCTATGGGTTCAGTCACATTATAATAAAATCTTCATTCCCCTCTACGGTCATAAATCGAGGGAAGATTTCGAGTTTCATCAATCTCATTACGTCAAGGATTGCCAAAAGAGTATCGCCGGAAGTATACATCAAATTGGGCAGAATTTTGAGGGCGGCCTCAAAAATCAAAAATAAGAATGTCGCAATGTCTCAAAGCATGTTACGGCCTATGATTCGACCAAATCATTTACTTTGTGCATTATCTTCAAAAATAACTGCATTATTTATAAATGTTTTATCGTAATTTATATTTTCGAAAACCTCACTTTTGTAATAGCTAGAAGTTGCCCAGGGGACTCAAGCAAGGCATCATGACAAGGGCAAGGGAAAAATGAAAAATCGAAAGCACGAATCGACCTCCCCTCCCCCCACCCCATAGCTTACAATTTTTCTTTGGATGCATGCATAGTGTCAACAAAGCATACAATAGGATAGAATCTGCCAAGCCTATATAATAGGACCACTATCTCCACGTATATGGAATCTGCCAAGCCCAAACGCGTCAAGCTAAGAATCACTTTCTTTCCTCATATTCAATCATCGCTTTCTTGCATAGGGCTAAGCACTGCCCTTGTTACATTGCATGAGTCTAAGAACTGCCTCCATCATTGCATAAGGCTAAATGTTGCGTTTCTCTGCATAGGGCTAAGCACTGCCCTCATTACATCTTATGAGGCTAAGCACTACCTCTATCATTACATAAGGCTAAACGCTGCCTTTCTCTGCATAGGACTAAGCATTGTCCTCATTACATTGCATGAAGCTAAGCACTACCTCCACCATTGCATAAAGCTAAACACTGCCTTTCTCTGCATTGGTCTAAATGATGTCCTCATTACATTGCATGAGGCTAAGCACTACGTCCACCATTGCATAAGTCTAAGCATTGTCTTTCTCTGCATAGGGCTAAGCACTGTCCTCATTACATCACATGAGGCTAAGCACTGCCTCCATCATTGCATAAGGCTAAGCAATGCCTTTCTATGTATAGGGCTAAGCATTGCCCTCAATATATTACTTGAGGCTAAGCATTATCCTCATTACATTGCATGAGGCTAAGCATTGGCTCCACCATTGCATAAATCTAAGCACTGCATTTCTGTGCATAGGTTAAGCAATGTCCTCATTACATTCCATGAGGCTAAGCACTGCCTCCATCATTCTATAAGGCTAAGCACTGCCTTTCTCTACGTAGGGCTAAGAACTGCCCTCATTACATTGCATGAGGCTAAGCACTGTATTCACTATATTGCATGAGTCTAAGCATTGTCTTCATCACTTGCATAAGGCTAAGCACAGCCTTTCTCTCCATAGGGCTAAGCACTGCCTTTTTATGCATAGGGCTAAGCACTGCCCTCATTACATTGCATGAGGCTAAGAATTGCCTCCGTTGTCGCATAAGGCTAAGAACTGCCTTCCCCTGCATAGGTCTAAGCATGGCCCTCATCTCATACAAGGCTAAGTGCTTCCTTGTCTTGTTCTCGCATATGCATAAGCATCATTTGTTCCCTCTATTAAGCAATCAATATCACCGCATCCTTGCATTTCATGGGCTGAAACATCGCCACATTGTCCGAAGGTGTCAGAGTCTAAAGGCATCACCTCATAGCCCGAAGACATCATGCCATGGCCTGAGGATCTCTCGAAACTGCATATCTTTATTCAAAAGCGTTATAGTCCAGAGGCACCATCCTCATAGGCCGAGGACACCATTTCATGGCCTGCGAATCCCTTATTATATGCTTCATGGCCCATGACGTCATGGTCTAAGGACATCATCCTCATCGTCTGAAAGACAACTCTCATTGTCCAAAGGGAATTTGAATCATGTTTAAATTTCCGTGATAACTATATATATTTACGTGCATCGTCTTTTAAGTTTTGCAGGTAACTTGGGATGTAACCGTTCTACAAACAGAAGCAATTCTCACTCCGGTTTGCGTTCACATAGTTCACATCCTTTGATTATCTCAAATGTAATCGATGACCGGTAATTGATTATTCTTTATTCCGTAACCGGCCGAACAATTGTCTTGAACATCCATAATGCTCAACTTCACATCCATAGCCCCCACCTAAAATTATCCGCCACTTATGACACTACCCTACCCAAAGAAGATCTTTCTTTGAAACGTACGACCCTTCTTATAACAACTCCATTGGTTTCGTTCGATGTTGGATCCAGAACTACACATTGCCTGATTCTCAAAATATCAAAGATATGTAGGAAACTCAAGAACTAGGGTTTGGCCCCTTTTTTTTTAAATACCTCATCCTCGTTCATTCGGACAAAATTAGTCATCATTTTCTATATCCGACAATTCTTTCATCATTCCCGGGTAAAGAGGGGCAGTTGTTGATACCTAATTTTGCCCTCATATTTTATAAAGTGCATCATATACTTCAAAAATAGCATTTTGCACTATTACCCAACTTATAAGGGCCATATAAGTAATTTCTACAATTTTCAAAGCTTTTAAATTAATTTCTTGCATTTTTTAATTATTCAATATTTACTGATTATTCCCCCAAATCATTTTTAGTAATTTAAACTGATTATTTATACCTACAAGTATATTTTATAATATTTTACTTCATTTTATATAATTATTTACATTTTTATACTAATTACACATTTTTGCATTAATAGCCTATACTTTAAAATTAATTGCGTCTATTATTTTATTTGAGGTCAAAAGAACTTCATTTTTTTACAATCTTCAGTTATTATTTTTAAAGTACTTATTTGTATCAATAATATTTTTTATATTTATTTAGATATTTTATTAATTTATTTTCCTTTAATTTCATTTGATTTAAAATCTGGCCCAAACTAGGCCAATTTTCGGACCATTCACCAGCCCAGACCCCCCAAACCAATGGCCCAATCACCCCAATCCAAACCAAACGACCCCTTGTGACCAACCCAGTCAGAACCCGCTGAAACAACCTGCCTTGCTTTCTTTAAAATCCTGGCAGTTGATCTCTCAAGATCAATGGCCCACGATCACCCCATCACTTTTTATTACCCAATCCCAAACCCTAATCCTCATTTCCCTCCGCCAAGCCGCTCCTAATTTCTCTCGTCCCTTCCTGCTCTCTTAAGAAACCCTAGCAGCCGCCTCGCCCCCCCTCCCCCAGTGTTCTCCGAATCCGATCAAATCATGGATCCTTTCCACAATTTACTTGACTTTTATGTGTTACCTCATTGTTACTTACATGAATATGGTATTAATTAATACTTGCCCGGTTTTGGCAAGTATCAAACCTCTGAATCAAGAGAAGACGATATTCCGTCTGCATACACTCATAACAAAGGTCGTATCGGTCCGATTCACCAAGATCTTTGCTAACTTTTTAGTTCTGTCAAACTAGGGTTTGTACTGTTTTCTCCTAATCCGATTAAAATCGATTTTTCATGTGATTATTTTCTTATTTCTGTGATTCGATTGATGTTTTCCTTTTATGATTTTGGTTAGTTTAATGCTATATAAACTCCTCCCCCATTTCCCCTAAAATGGACCTTAATCACTACGCTCTCTCACTCTCACTCTCACTCACTCGATATTGTTATGAAACTATTGATTCTTGGCCGGCTGAAAGCCAAGG